ACGCGTGGCTCTATGATTTGACAGAGGATATGGTTTAGACAGTATCCTACACTCTCCTGCAGCCAAAGATAAGACCCTAGTGTGTAAGTCAAAAAATCCTGACAATATGTAACCTCTCCTTTGTGCTAAGACTTCTGAAGACCTCTCCCCATCACCATCACCCCTCCCTCGTGACACCATACCCCCCTTCCCCATCACCTTCCTCCCTCGTGACACCATATCATCCACCAATTCACCAGTTAAAGGTAAATAAATCCACCTAAGAGAGAGAGAGGGTAACTTCAAGAACAATACCCACCATTAACTTGTAGAACTCCCTCTTAAGACGTAGAAATTAGGGAAAGGAACATCTACAAGACAGATTACAACACTGGTCAGTAGAGGCGGTGAGGAGTAGGCTGAGGAGGTGAACGGAGAAGTGCAGTGTGGGTGACCTTACTAAAACGTGAGGTGGATGACAGGAGAGGAGGGTGGAGATGGTGGAAATGATAAAGTGGAGAAGTTTTGGAGATAGTCTGCGTGTAGGAGAGAAAAAGAGAGAGGGAGACATCCTAACATTTCCCGTGCATCGTCTACCTTCAGGTCCTCGACACTCACAGGTTACGCACGTTTCTGGGCTGCCACCTCAGGAATTGCATTGGTAATACATTCCTCAAAAGACTCGTGTTAGTTTTGTGGGAACTGTGAGGCGACGGAGGTAGTTCTGTCAATGGAAGCTTAAGGGAGGGAAGGAAGGTCAAGGGAGGACATGGTAAGAAGATATTGAACTGGTCTGTGGAACGAACACAAACGTAAACATGAAAATACGAACACACGAACACAAACATAGTCACACATAAAGTAAGATAAGGTTAAAAATATGTTCATTACCTTATACATGGCCCTGATCTTTGTTCTGTTCTACCAATAGGTTTCCATAGGTGAACATTTCCATAGTTAAAGGAATATATACATACAGGTAAATAAAGAGATAATCAGACCAGAACACACTACAGATCCCGGCATCTTACCTGCCTTATCACCCATAACAGGCCCTCCAACCCCTCCTTTCTCTTCCCCCCTCCAACACCCATACATTCCTCCCCACCCCCTTTACCCTCCTCCCCACACCCCCGCCTCAATTCTCTACTCAGTCGTAAAATCGCTCGACACAAGACTCCCACTAGTAGTAATTTCTATGGTAGCAAAATAATGCATAACCTCTGGGTACTTGATAGATGAAAGGCTACCGACAGCTGCAACATCAAAAATCCATATTCTGTTCATTAGCTAATATGTGAGACTTCAACGTCACATTCTTCATTTTTTCTTTCAATATGTAGGAATAATTTCTTGGTTAGGTTAAGTTAGGTAGATGATGACGTCTAATGCACTGTGGGAAAAACAAGACTACTGGGTTGCAGGTCCTGAGGCTGTATTATAACTGTGTTGTTTTCGACCTTGGCCAATTAGGGAGTACCTGAAGTAGCCTCACAGGTAACGAACGGGGCGGGGGGAGTCCTACTGATGTTGATGTGACTGCTCTAATAACAGTCAAGGTGTGGTTCCAGTGATAGTCAAGGTGCGGTTCCAGTGACAGTCAAGATGTGGTCCCAGTGTCCTGTTGCAACATCCTAACACCAGATAAACAGACTTGACTCCCAGTAAAATGCATTGTCCTTCTGTTTGTCTCTCTCTTAGTTCAGTTTCTGCTTGACAAACAAAACATAACTTAAAAAAACCAAATATTCCCCAAAATGTTGCCAAAACTTCAAACATTTTCCTTTTTTTTTTAATTCAGTTGTATAGAGGATAAGATGTCACACGTCCAGTGAAGTATGCAAATAATGTACCTCCTCCGGCCGCGCCCACACCTAACCTAACCTGGCCAGTTCGCTCTAGTTCTTATCTGGACTCCACTCACACGCACCTCCTGCCAGCGGTCACTAGCATCCACACCTTAGTTAAAAGAACCAAGGCTGGAGGATCCTGTTAGGTTGTAGTTCCCAGTCTAAAAACTCACTCGTCTACTGTGTGAACTGAGTCAAGTATGAAGAACAAGATGTGGAAATTGAGGGTCTTGGTTAAGAGTGGTGCTCCTTCAACCTTACCTACACTTAAGGTATTCGCCGTTACTGTTGTTGTCAGCGTATGTGTGGGCGCCAAGTAAACCTATCCCTGGTGTCAGTATGGGTGTAGGTCGCAGCAAAATATCAACACAGATTGACACAGGAGGTTTAATGTGGGTGAAAGTAGGAGTAGATAACAATATGAAGCCTTGTAAACATCATAAACAGAAGAATTATAGCCTGTGTGATGGGTAGTGACGGACTCATCTCCCGTTATACAAGTGTCCGAAGCTGCACCGAACCCAAATCCGCTGTTACAGGTGAGGGAAGCCAGAGTCCAGGGAATCTGAGTCTCGCTGCAGCAGATAGGAGTCTCATAATATAACGGGAGTCTTAAACGTATACATAGAATTAATTAGGCTTGTAGAGTAGCTACTGTATAAAGATAACCT